GGACCGTCGCACTTGTCTTCAAAGAAAGGGCACCGCCGGAGGTAGGTAAAAAGAAAATGAAGCTGCCCGACTCATTCCATCCAGAGGAAGGCGGGCGGAACAAGAGGGAATCGAGGGTGCACGCCAACATGCTGCTGTAGACAATGGGCCTCTCGGCCGGTGCGCACTCGGAGCGACGACGGCCGAGCGCTGATCGCGAGGACGGCCTGAGACTCGAATGTGACTTCTCCACTGACATCGTCAACAACATGCGCCGCTGCCTCGGAAGCGACGCCGTTGCTGGTTGCTCAAGTGATTCGGAGCCAGCTCGCCGCAACAGCCTCGATATAGGCGTCCGCCTCCCTCCGCCTCGCCTGCGCCGCCGCCGTCCGGCTCGCCGTCGCCGCCGCCGCCCACGCCGCCGCCTCCCTCCGCCTCGCCTGCGCCGCCGCCGTCCGGCTCGCCGTCGCCGCCGCCGCCGTCGGCCTCGCCATCTCCGCCGCCGATCCCCGACTTTCCAGCCGAACCGCCGAGCTCGCCACCTTCCGCTCCGCCAGACTTTCCCGCCGAACCGCCGAGCTCGCCACCTTCCGCTCCGCCAGACTTTCCAGCCGAACCGCCGTCCGCCCCGCCAGCCTCCGAGGAGTGCTATCCGGGCATCCCCGGTGGGCTGGCTTGCCCGCCCGGGCACTTCCTCGGCTTTGGCAAGAAGGGCGGGTGCCGGACCACGACGTGCGAGACTGGCCAGTACACCGCCCTCCGGGGCATCACCACTTTTGACGCGTGCGCGGAAAGGTGCCTCGACGATGCCACCTGTAAGGCGTTCGAGTGGTTCCCTCGACCCCGCGGTCTGCTCCCTTCCAGGGCACGGTGTGAGATCCACCGCGACGTCCCCGTGAAAACAGCGGCCGACTGCGGGGAGACCGGTCAGGCCCTTGACCACTGTTGCTGCACGCGGGCTTGAGTCTGCCGACCCCCACTCGCGGAGCTGCGTCTGATCTAACATTGCCGAGGCTTTCTCCGCCCTCGAGGAGACCATGATTCGCCACGCGAAGGACGGAGCGTTCGCGCTTCACACTAGTTCGTAGTTGGCACGCCTGCTAGACCATGATTCGCCTTGCACCCGGTCAGCCGAGCCGCTCAGCCGCCGTCTGCCAACGAGGCCACTACGACAGAGCGCGTACACTCGGCCACCAGCCTGATGTGTGATGAGCGAGATCGATGTCATGACATTTTTGGCCGTGTTTTTCTTACCTTTCTTTTTTTCCTGCTCATAACCTCCTCCTCATCCTCCACCCCGCTTCGTCCCCCTCCGCTAGCCGTCCTGCTTGGCGAGGCTATCGAGCAAGTCCTGCGGTGGGGGGGGGGGGGGGGGGGGGAAACCTTTTTCTCCAAAGGGGCCCCCCCAAGGGGGGGTGTTCTACCCCCTTTTTTTGGCCCCCGCCCTTTGGTTTTTTTTGTTTTTCAAGACCTTGGGCCTCCCGGGGGTCCTGTGGGGGGGGGGGGGCCCTTGTTCCCCTTTTCTTAAAAGGGGGGGGGGCCTTTCCCCCCCCCCCAAGAACCCTCCCCATGCAATCCCTGAAAAAGAAAGAAAACGAACATCCCAAGCTAGGAGCCTAGGAGGGCTGGGTCGAAGACGGACGCGTCCCCACCTTTGCAGGATTTTGCAAAAGCGAGGCCGAGGGGGAGGGGGGGCATCGCGGCGCGGAGAGGGCTGATCTCTGAAGCCTCTTCGCACGCCGGCGAATTCACCTCAAGAGCTCGAGATGACTCCCTTCTGCGGCTTGAAGAAGGGTGACGGGCATTTGGAGCCAAACGCGCCGCTCGCCCAAAGGCCGAGGAGGAGCACGGGAACAAAGCAGCCGCCGATGATGCCGCCAATGCAACCGGCACCGCAGCTAGAGGAGGAGGAGGATGGCGACGACGGTGGCGGCGAGGATGGCGACGGCGGAGGCGGCGATGGCGACGGCGGCGATGAGGGAGAAGCTGCAGGCGGCGGTGGTGAGGGGGGAACGGCAGACGGCTGAGGGGATGGAGACGCCGCCGTGCAGCCCATACCAGCGGCCATCGAGGGTTCCGAGTAGAAGATGTCCGTCACTCCAGCCAGCGCTCTCGCCGTGTAAGCGTTTGTGTAGCCTGAAGACCCCCCGCTACACTTGCCCGCCCCGGCGGACAGGTCGGCATAGGTACACCCGCGGTAGCACTTCATGGCAAAGGGGTAATCGGAGGCGGACGGCTTGGGGTTTGTGGGAAGGGAGACGAGGTCGGACAGAGGGCCATTAAAGTAGTACCTATACTTGAACTCATCGAGGCCCGGGATCTCCTGCGAGGTGCGACGGGGGATCTCCTGCTCGGTGGTCGGTCACGCTCGCTGCGAGGCAGGTGGGGTGAGGGCAGCGGCGGGGAGGGGTAATGGCGAGGGAGGGAGGGGAGAGAGGGGACCATCTCGAAGCCCGAGCAGTCGTCCAGGCAGAAGGTGCCGGTGCAACCCTGCGCTGTGTGCTCCATGGTGACACCGCCAGGGCCGAGTCTCCCATAGATTGGGAAGCCGTCGAGGGACCAGCCGATCTGGGGCGAGTGCCCGTCAGTCAGATTGCCGATCTGTGTCTCGAGGCACGACGGCGGAAAGTGATAATGGTAGTCGCCTTTGCACTCACCACCCTTGCCGCCGCCCTTGCCGCCGCCCTTGCCGCCGCCCTTGCCGCCGCCCTTGCCGCCACCCTCGCCACCGAAGCAGCGAGCGTGGCCGCCGCAAAAGTCGAAGGAGGTCCACTTGGCATTTGCGTCGTCGAGGTCCAGAATGTCGCAGTCGCCCGGGCCCACGGCACCCGAGTAGATTGGCACGCCATTGAGAGACATCGCGATGGTCTCCTTTTCACATTCAGGCCTGGCGTCGTTCTCTGTCGCGAGAACTGGGTAGGCGGGGATGTCCATGTGATAGGTGATCTTGCGAGCCTGACTCGCGTTTCCCTCCTCGCCGATGGCGCCGCACCCCGCGGCGCCGCTCTTACCGGTGCACAGGTTGTAGTGGTTTGGGCAACCGTTGCTGACGATGGTTCGCTTGTGGTGCGTACCGCTTGTGTCGATGGTCTCGGTGTAGGAGGCAGACGCGCCGCACGGATCGCAGCTCGTCCCGTGGGCGACTGTGGGGATTAGAGCCAACCGGAGGAGGAGCGCACGCTCGCCGCGGGACATGCCTAGGGTTTGAGAGCTCAACATCGGGGCTCCCCCGGGGTGCAGGATCGACAAAACCGGCGTGGTTGCAGCTCGTCCTCATCGACCAGAGTCAGCATTTTGTCGCTGCGTGCTCGTGGCCAGCTGTGGCGGCGGTCGAAGTTCGCCCAGGTTCGGTGACAAGCGCCAGACGATAGTAGTGTCTCTGTTCGCCCTGTGCATGTCAGGCCAGGCTGCAGCAGCACTACCATCGTGCTGCCCTGTTGCAGCCTGACTTTGCCCACTGTGCACAGTCGCCAGAGCACCACCACCGCCCGGCATCGTGTCACGGCGAGCTCCTTCTGCGCCCGCTCGCGAGGCTCTCAACAGTAACAACAGGACAAACAGTAACAGCTTGGGCTGGAAGCATAACTCCCAAACCCGCAGCGGCCCGGGGGGCCTTGGGGGCAGCCTGCCGGACCGCTGTTGCACGGGGCCAAGCACCAGAAGATGAGTGGAATTGATGAATTGGGCCGTTGTCCGTGCCTCCCCTCTATACGTCAGAGTGGGACCTACGCCGCGCCGGGCAAGGGGCGCGCCCGGTCCTCGACGGAGCCGCGCGCCCCAAACGACCCAGGCGGCGAGTAGTCGTCCTCGAACCTTCGACGCGTAGTCGCCCGTGGTCAGCGCCCCTCCTCCCTCGCCCGTCCTTATTCGTACTGCACCCGAGGCGCCCGCGGCATCTTGCCGCCCATCTTCGGCCACGCGTTGTAGTCGAAGATGGCGGCGTTGCGCCTCGCGATGATGGTCGAGTGCACTTGCAGGAAGCGCTTGCGCTCGCTACTGACCCGCCATCGTTCGCTGTCGGAGGATGCCTTAGCGGCCTTGATGTCGAAGTTGGTGTTGAACCACGTCGCCGCCTCGTGCCCGATGCCGCCACGCGGGCGCCGGAAATTCTTTTCCTCGCGATCGATGTCCACCCCGCCGCGCCGCCGCTCGCGCCGCCTCACCCCCGCCTCCTCCGACGCCGCGCCCTCGCCGAGCACGCCGCCGCCCATCCGCCTCCTCGACCTCCCCACGGAGCTCCTCGTCCGCGCCCTCTCTCGCTGCGACCCCGCCGACATCGCTCGCGTCGCGGCCGTCTCGCTTCTCTTCCACGCCCCGCTTGCGCTGGAGGGCATCCGCTTGTGGGCGCGAGAGCGCGGCTTCGAGCTGCCGGCGCAGCCAGAGGGCGAGGGCTGCGCCGTGCGGTGGCTGTGCTTCGCTGCGTTGCTGCGCGAGTCCAACCCGCCGGCGAGGGCGGCGGCACTCCGCAACCACAGCCTCTTCATCGACGGCGAGGGGCGGCTCTCGTCGTGCGGAAAGGCTGAGAGCTGGACGCCGGGACTGCTCGGGCACGGCGAGGGCGTGACGCGGCTGAACACGCCGACCCGCCTCCCTTCCCCGCTCGGTGGTGAGCGCGCCATGAGTGTGACGGCGGGATCTGCGCAAAGCCTCGCCCTCGCCGCTGACGGCAGTGTCTGGAGCTGGGGCAATGGATGGCGAGGCATGCTGGGCCACGGCGACGAGCAGCGCCAGCTGCTGCCCAAGAAGGTCGAGGCGTTGGCGGGGCAGCGGGCCATCGCTGTGTCGGCTGGAACCCGCCACAGCCTCGCCCTCACCGCTGACGGCGCCGTCTGGAGCTGGGGCGATGGAGCCTTTGGCAAGTTGGGCCACGGCGACGAGCAGAACCAACTGCTGCCGAAGAAGATCGAGTTGCTGGCTGGCCAACGCGCCATCGCCGTGTCGGCTGGAGAGTACCACAGCACCGCCCTCACCACCGACGGTGCCGTCTGGAGCTGGGGCTATGGAGGCTATGGCCAGCTGGGCCACGGCGACGAGCAGGACCAGCTGCTGCCGAAGAAGATCGAGGCCTTGGCTGGCCAGCGCGTCGTCGCTGTCGCGCCTGGAGCCTCCAGCCAACACAGCCACAGCCTCGCCCTCACCGCCGACGGCGCCGTCTGGAGCTGGGGCAGTGGACACGCTGGCGTCTTGGGCCACGGCGACGAGCAGGACCAGCTGCTGCCGAAGAAGGTCGAGGCCTTGGCTGGCCAGCGCGTCGTCGCTGTGTCGGCGGGAGGCCACCACAGCATCGCCGTCTCCGCCGACGGCGACGTCTTTACCTGGGGCGCGGGCGAAGGTGGCTGCCTGGGCCACGGAGAGGACCTGTCGAACCAGCTGCTGCCCAAGAAGATCGAGGCGTGGGCGCCGGGGCAGTGAGAAGCCCGCGAAGTTGGACAAGGAGGGGATGCTCAGGCTTCTCGCGGCGCTCTCAACGAGGAGAGGATTCGGTTCGGCGCCACGGCGGGGCCGAGCCCGAGGGTGGGCGAGGCAACGGTGGCGGCGGAGGCGGCAGAGGACGTGGCTGGTGTTGGCTGAGGCCGTCGCCGAGGCGGCGACCGCCGAGGCTGCGGCGAAGGCTGCTAGGGCGGCGGTGGAGGCGGCGACCGCCAAGGCGAATCGGTCGGCCGTATCAGCTCGCTCTGATGCGGCGGCCGGCCTCGGCGTTCGCCGCGCTGATCGGCGACACTCTAGAGGGGCGCAGGCGCGGGGCGTAGCAACTGACTGAGCCGGGGGCGGTCGGGTAAAGATTTTTCTTTTCTGCGTTGCCAAGGATTGTCAGGACTCGCCGGGGCGCCGGGCCCGAGGCCACTTCTTCAGTCTGGGAACTGAAGGGTGGCCACCCTCCCGTTGATGGGCTGTCGATGGGCTCAGCCTGACTGACTTGACCCCTAGGGACAAAAAAAATCTCCCCTAGGGGGGGTGCGCGTTCGCAGGGAAAGGGGGGTGCGCGGTCGCAGGGCCATAACACGGGTTGCGCGTTCGCAGGGCCATAACACGGGTCTCCGAGGGTTCTGCGCGCCAGGTTTTCCCCAGCGGTGTGGGTCCCCCTAGCTGCGGAACGCCCCCCCTACTCGGAGCTAAAGAATACTCTCCGAGAGTTGGTTCAGCGTACCAGGTTTCCCCTTATTACGGGAACACATACCGGATACCGTCCCGCGGCCTCCCGACTTTTTTTGCGGCGAACGACTTCGTAGGCACCGGAGGGAACAAGGGAGAGCCAGCCTTCCACAACCGCGTCTTCTATGCAGGCCGGATCGTCTCGGTCTGAGGCCTCAGACCCGCGCGACAAGGTTGCGGAGCTGGTCACCAAAGACGTTTGGGACCGCCTCATCTTTGACGAGGCCAGCGGCGAGTTGGACAGCTCAGAGCGAGCGGCGGACGCCACCGCGGCGGGTCTGGCGGTCGATGCCGAGGAGAAGCGGAGCCCGCAGTCGCCGCCGCAGCCGCTGTCGCCGCTGTCGCCGCCGCGCGGTGTGGACGCACTGCAGAGCGGCGGGCTCGAGTCAGCCCTCGGCGCCGACCCGCGCAAGCGCAACCGCGCAGCGGCGTCGATGAGCTCTGTCGGTGCGCCTCTTGCCCCCGTTGCCGCCAGCACGAGCGAGCCCGGCTCGGCGCACCACGTCCAACCCCCCGCCCGCGTCGGCGCACCCCCTCGCTGCCGCCTGCCCATCTCCGTGATGGCAGCTCCCCACGCCCTCTGCAGCGAGCGACGACATGCGGATCCTGACGATTGCGACGGACGAGGCGCCCACCCTTCCCCGCCGCTGCCTTGCTGCCCTCTTGGCTGCGCGTCCTCGCCGCACCATGTCGCTGCCTCGCGACCCTCGCACTTCCTCCCTGTGTCGCACCGCTGCCTGCCCGCCTCCTCCCTCTTTCACTGCCTTGCGCTCTCCCGCCAGATCACCTCAATCTTCACCTCGATGGAGCTGTCGCAGCTGTTCCAGCCGGGGGCGCTCAGCTCCGCCCCGGGCTCCGCGAGCAACTCGGTGAGCGGCACCTCCGCCGCCGCCGCCGCTCAGGCTCGCATCCTGCCACCCTCCTCTCCCCCCTAGCGCACTGAGCCGGGGGAATAGAGCGGGGGAGACGGCAGCACAGCCCCTTTGCACGCTCGCACGGCTCCAGTCTCGCCTCCCCCACTCCCGGGGGCAGGCACAGGCGCCGCCCTTGCCCCCTTCCAGCACTCCCCACCGCCATCCACCACCCACACTGCCGCTAGGTGCACCAGCCCTCTCACCGCCACCCCCCTCCCCGCCCATAATCAGACGACGGTGGTGCAGCCGCCGCCGCAGCAGCCGCCGCCGCAGCAGCCGCCGCCGCAGCAGCCGCAGGCGCAGCCGCCGCAGCAGCCGCAGCCGCAGCAGCCGCCGCCGCCCGATCGCACCAGCGGCGCGTGGGCCAGGGCCAGTGCGACCAACACTGTCCTCGAGGCCTTTGGTGCCGCAGACTTTGGAGTCCCCGAAGAGGCCTTGCGCACCGAGCACGAGCGGCGGCGCTCAAACCCCCTCGCCGCCGCCCCCAGCGCTTGCGCCACCTCCGCCCCCTCGGCCGCGTCGGCGGCGGCGGCGGCGGCGCAGCAGCAGCAGCAGGCCCTCATCTCGGGCAGCGCCGGCGCGGGCCCGAGTTTGTCTGCGGACGACATGAAGCTGCTGCTCCAGCAGGCGACGCGTCACGGACGCAACCCCCCCCT